ATGGAAATGGAATGTTAAAAGATGATAGATTGTGAATAGAGAATTGTTGAATAAGAAGAGACTATCAGTTATAGTAATTATTGAGAGTAATTAATCTGGCAAGTGTAGACAATTGATTGAGGGTAATTAATATGACATTAATAAAGATATAAATTGTGGCATTAAATATGGATGATAAACATGGTATAGTTGTAGTGTTGGAGGATAAAAGTGAAAAACAAATGTTTTTCAAATATGTTGATATTTTAAAATAGTATAGATTTGTGAGAAATAAACTCCAAAAGAAATGACGATTGTATCTAATATATCTTTCCCCCTTGACCTCGAATCAATTCATAGCTTTACTAATTAAATATTGTGCCAAAATAGGGCTACATAAAAAGGGGAAACACATTTAGCAAGTCATTTTGAGCAGTATATGCCAGAAAGGGGAAAACAGTAACAAAGTAACATGCACCAAAGAAAAAAGAGAAAAATAAAATGCAAAAATATTTTTAGTGCTTAAATTCTTAATGACTATCACGTGGTTAGAAATGGATTATACTTTTTTCCATTTCTTTTTAGTATTATTGTAATTTTTCATGTATGTGATTTCGAAACTTCTGCTAGAAAAGTAAATTTGACTTGTATTANATTGCAATTGAAGATCAAAGGCATCCGAAAATTTGGAAGACGAATATCCACTTCGTAGAACCCGTAGTCCAACCTGACATGCACAAAAATCAACAAGAATCCCATCAGTAGATTTTGAAAAATTGCTTAAAAAAACCCAATAGAAACCCCTTTGTCAACAATAATAGGCAGTATATAAGTCATTTAATTCAACTATCTTAGAGTAAACTGTGGTTATTGGGGATTAGTAAGATAATTGAACCATTGGAGATAGATCAGAGATCGGGTTCATCAACGAGATCTGTAACCAAAGAAGATGTGTTAGTATTGGTAATCAATTGAAATATGGTAAATGACAATGAAAAGTACCAAAAAAGAGCTTACTTTTGGAAGAGAGGAGAGTCAAATGAATTTTCTTGATGATGGGTCTTTTAATTTGGAAGAGAAAATGGAAATGGAATGTTAAAAGATGATAGATTGTGAATAGAGAATTGTTGAATAAGAAGAGACTATCAGTTATAGTAATTATTGAGAGTAATTAATCTGGCAAGTGTAGACAATTGATTGAGGGTAATTAATATGACATTAATAAAGATATAAATTGTGGCATTAAATATGGATGATAAACATGGTATAGTTGTAGTGTTGGAGGATAAAAGTGAAAAACAAATGTTTTTCAAATATGTTGATATTTTAAAATAGTATAGATTTGTGAGAAATAAACTCCAAAAGAAATGACGATTGTATCTAATATATCTTTCCCCCTTGACCTCGAATCAATTCATAGCTTTACTAATTAAATATTGTGCCAAAATAGGGCTACATAAAAAGGGGAAACACATTTAGCAAGTCATTTTGAGCAGTATATGCCAGAAAGGGGAAAACAGTAACAAAGTAACATGCACCAAAGAAAAAAGAGAAAAATAAAATGCAAAAATATTTTTAGTGCTTAAATTCTTAATGACTATCACGTGGTTAGAAATGGATTATACTTTTTTCCATTTCTTTTTAGTATTATTGTAATTTTTCATGTATGTGATTTCGAAACTTCTGCTAGAAAAGTAAATTTGACTTGTATTATAGCCAAGGGAATGTGCCTTCCATACTTTGTCATATTATCCAACCAAACTAATAGTGTTGCATAACATCCTAACTCCAAAAACAATAATATGTATAGACCCATTGAATTTTATCCGACATAGGTAGTTGATACCTATTAGTTCTTATTGATACCATCATATAGTCTTTGATTCCCCAAACTCAAAATAAAATAAAAAATCAAGTAGCGAAAAAAATAAAAAAAATTAAGCTTTAGTAGATTGTTATCAAGAAATGCTAGACTTTGAACAACAATGTTGTTCTTCAGATAACTTAAAACACAGAATATGAAGGTGAAGAAAAGGTAACATGTCATATACATAATCCAGTATCAGGCAAGTTCTAATTCTTCAAGTGAATTTTTAAAGTTAGGTAATCAAATTTTCAAATTTTAAAAATATAAAGTTTGACCTAAAAATTAAGAATTGATATGAAGAAATTAGATTATCAAAATTTCATGGAATAATTAAAATTCAAAGAATACCATTGAGATTTGTGATTGTGGAGGATGGTTTTGTGTTCAATGCAACATTAATTGACTCAAAATATATAGGTGTGTTGATTTGTCAAGTGAGGAAGCAAAAATATCATTCTTTTAGTACTTGAGGTTTCTGATACCCACAAAAGTTGAACTTTCATCTTACCAAATATCATAATGTCATGCTTCAAGATTGAAGTTTTATTTAGAAAACAAAAAAAGACAAATAAAAATAAAATAGGAAATGAAATTGATTGATGGTAGGTTTAAAGGGCTTTCCTTTGATTGGTTAACCTGATAGATGAGAACAACTTGCAATATAATTTAACTTCGAAATAGTGAATATTTGACACTTTGAGAGTGAATCCAATGTGCACGTTGGATGTGAAAAATATATTGTTTTTTAGTATGATTAAGAATTCTAAGGAAAGTGATCAGTGAGTAGAGAGAAAAGTGAAAAAAAAAAATATGAGAAAACTTGCTGTGGATGGTAGAATGTTATAAAGATAGAAAGCATGCAGTAAGATGACCCTTACAACTGATATGAAGAGTCTCTAACGATATCATGGATGACAATTTTATTTTAGTAAAAAGATATTGATTATTCAAAATCACAAAGCCAATGGTCCAAAATTGGTAATGGAATAATGGAGAAGGAGGGAGATTGTAACTAGAAGTCCAAAAGAACTAAAACAATTTTAACTCTTCTTCATGAGAAGAAACCGCTACCCTTAGTGCTAGTTAATGATTAAAAACCTTTGATCTATATAAGAACACTCATTTCAAGGCCTTAAAGAATGGTCATTGATATAACTATGATAAATTGATAGAGTATTAAATAGTTAGAGCTTTAATTAGTTAGAGTTTGAATGAATAGAATAAATATTTAATTTATTGATGTGCTTAATGTAAGATGAAAGGATATGATGGAGTTTATAATGTTAATTAGGGGTAAAATAGGAAAATAAAATTTTTTTATGTTAGGGTACTTTTATTAGTAGTATAGAATAGATATAGATATAGATATAGATAATTGATTTAGTTTTAATATAAAATTAATAATTTCTTATTCCCCTATTTCTTTCTCCTTGAAGGTGATATATGAATAACATTTATTAAGAATCATCTCATGAATGGTTTTTGAAGTAAAGAGTCATCTAAAGTATCTACAGGTTTTACGATTTTGCAGTTACAAGACATTGTCCTTAAACCAACATCTTGAGATCGCCCGTCAAATTGCGTGAATCAAGATAATGTCCAGTTTGAATAAACTCAACATCGGCACCAACATTTTGTGAGTTCATCATGGCTAATTTCGTATTCTAACCTAAGTTATTAGCTTAGAATAACACAAAAAATTTAGAGTTAATTTGATTGTTCAAGTGCTATCAAAATTTGAGAGTGCACATATGCTATATTCTAAACTTCATGTAAGCAACATTATGAAAGAATGATCCAATGCATTCTCTCTACTGGAAGTTTATAATAGCACAGGTGATTAATCAAAATAAATTATATATATATATATATATATATATATATATATGTTAATATACAAATTTTAACTCAAAATTAAAATAATTCATATGCAACGCACGTGTGCAATAACTAATTATTTATAAAAAATCAAAATGCAAGTGTTATTATTTTTATTATTAGATTTTTTTTTTCGGAGGGGGGTGGTGGAGGGTGGGGGCATGGTTTGGTCTTGGTGAGCGCTTAATTATGAGGAAGGAGCATAATATAAATCTGCTCAATATAATGAACCTGAGTATATAGTGTGTATGTGTTGCGTCGATTTTGAATTAATTCAATTCAAAAAGCATACTTTTATCTATAATCCAAAAATCAGTCATACTCCTCACCTTGAGATTGAGAATTCGAGTTTTGAAGTCTCTATTGGGGTTTAGTGGTTGATCATTATGCTAAACTAGTTAGGTCTGGTCCTGAGAGGTGTTTCAGGCACAGCAGGGGTCTTATGATCCCACCGGTGATAGCCTATCAGGATGGTCGTTGAACGCTCTTCCTTAACCCCACCCCCTTTTTTTTTCTGAACTAAAAAAAAACATTCGTGCAAAAAAAAAATCTATACCAACATGACACAGATTAGATATTGTTCATTCCAAATTCGAATCTAATTTAGCAGTTTAAATTTAAATATCAAACAAATTTTATTTTTACAGTGCACATTTATATTGGTTAAAATTAAAATTTTGATTTAAAAATTAATTCGGTCCAAAAATTCCATTTTATGTGAATCTCAACTAAATTTCATTTTTTCTCACTTAATGTCATAATATATTTATATACACATATAGGGATTATAATATCAAATTGGTTATTAATATACAATAACAAATTAAAATTATTGATCAAGTATATTAATTTATATTTAACTCATTAAAGTCGAACAAAATTTATCCGCAAAATGACTTAACACACAACCCGAAATCAGTTACACCATATCCCTATATGCAGTCACTACTAAGGATCAATATTTTGTTTTGTTATATTGTTTTAGTCACTTAAAATATAAAAATATTTTAAAAATAAAAATAAATTAAGAATTTATTTTTAAAATATTAATTAAATTATAAATAAACATTTTAAAATAGCTCGATTAATCAAAACATTCTAAAATAAAAATTCAAAATACCTCAAATCATTCGTGTTTTAATTTAATCACCGATTTATTTTAGTATTCTTAAAAATAAAAGATGGTGCGTTACCGCTCAAGACGGGGCAAACAACTTGAGCACTGTACAAATCCGTCATCCCTACACACACACATCTCCTTTGAGAGGAGAGAGAAATGGCGGAAGAAGAATCAGAAAAGAGGTTTCACGCGATTATGGACAAGCTCTTTCACTCTCCTACCAAATCCATAACCAAATCAACACCATCATCATCAACACCGTCGTCATCTGCATCGACGAGGTTGTCTTCAACTCTCTATCTTCTTATTTGATAGGATTTTTATTTATGTTTACATCAAAATTCTTCAAACCGTCGTTCTATTCTAGAGTTCACGAAATTTCAATCCAAATCGTTATCTCAGAATCACATATTTACAGTCTTTCCTTAATTAATTGTTCTGAAACTAGATTTTTTTTTGGCAGTTAATTGGTTTTTTTAATGATGTTTTAATTGAATTTGTTAGCTGAAAATTGAGGCTTCACAATGTCGTTTGTTTCTGTTGGGTGATAGAATGTCAGGGGTCGAATTGACGAGAGGCAAAAAACGCCACAATATGTCATCGGCATTAGCAGTTATGGAACCAAAAGCAAAACGGTTTGTGGTAGAGGAGTTGCCAAATAATTCATCTGGTTCCAGTGGGTCAGTCCAAGCTCCGCCGTGTAGACCATGGGACCGTGGTGATTTACTGAAGAGGTTGGCTTCGTTCAAGTCTATGACTTGGTTTGCTAAACCCCAGGTTCGATTCTGGATTCTCATGTGTTCTATCAATAGCAGGAAAGTTAGAATGATAATTTGGTTGTTTTTTTTTTGTATGTAAAAAATATACTGTTTTTTAATGTCATTGGTTCAATTTTGATTCTTATTTGATTTTGATATGTCTGCACGTATTCACTTAGTCACATAGATTGAGTGAGGTGCTTGAGGTTGTAGGTTGTTGGAGAGGTGGTTTTGCTTGTAAGAGAGTGAGGCACACCTGGATTTTGTCTTCTCTTTGAGTTCTGTTGTGCTTATAATACAAGAAGAACAGACACAGACGTGCCTTTACCAATTGATTTGGTTGGACACTTGGACTCCTCTGGAGCACACAACTTGCAGTATTGTGCAAGTATGTTGAATTATTAACAAATAATTTATGCTTATTGCTGAAGACTAAAATGTCATTACAATGAAAAAGAACAAGAAATGTATAATTTTGTATCTGTGTGGTTTGTCTTGCACTCTGCCATTTTTTTGCTGTGTTTAACGAAAGTGGCAGCCCTTAAAGCGCTCAAAGACTTAGATCTGATAGCCACTGGTATCTACATTGCTCTTCAACTAAGAAAAGAGGAGGCTGAAAAAGAAAAGCAAAATTTGTGGAAGGAATTTGATTTGATACTCAAAATGCATGAAGTAATTGGAGGGAGGGGAATAAGAACAAGATGGCGATCAGATAACTAGTTTGTTACCAAACTTGAACTATATACAACTGTGCTGTGGCATGTTGTAATGATTCTTTGTTTTGCAATCCTAAGCTCTTCTTTTGCCTAGTTGTTATGCTAATTGCCCTTTTATGTTTTTTTGAATTAAAAACTTGTAGGCCCACCAGCGGGCAAAAGAAAATAAAGCATGCATTAAGGGCCACAGAAATTTCACATCTTGAGGGTTTCTTTCGTGTGGCAGATTTGGGGTTAACTTATAATCTATCTATATCTATATTTGTATCTATCTATCTATCTATCTATAACTATATCTATATCTATACTACTCCTAAAAGTGGCTTGAGTAGAAAAACTTTTAATTTCTTTATTTGTCGTTTAGTAATTTTATAATGTCAAAATTGTGATATCATCTAATATTTAACTCTTACACTCTTCCATTTCTAGGAATAAAGATTCTTGACCTTCAATTTTGTTTGCTCACTATTATCTATTTTTAAAATTTTCCAAATTTTAAATGCTTACGTTACTCTTTTAAAAATTTTAAAGACCACTATGTATCATTTAATAAATCCATTAACTACTATCTACAACATGCTATAATACTTCCCCACCTTTTCCTATTCCCCACTAAATTATTATTCATAAGGAAACTAGGTAGACAGAGGGTCCTAACAAATCTACCAATATTTCTTTTTAAGTTAATATAAGCATTAATATTGTTTATCCTAAAAGTGGCTTAAGGAGCAAAATTTTTAATTTTCTTATTTGCCCTTTAGTAATTCTATAATGTCAAACATGTCATATCATCTTATATTTAACTCTTACACACTTCAATTTCTAGGAATAAAGACTCTTGAACTTCAATTTTGTTTACTCACTATTATCTAAATTTTAAATGCTTACGTTACTCTTTCAAAAATTTTAAAGACCACCATGTATCATTTAATAACTCCATTAACTACTATCTACAACATGGTATCATACTTCCCCACTTTTTCCTATTCCCTACTAAATTATTATTCACAGTTAAGGAAACTAGGTAGGCAGAGGATCCTAACAAATCTACCAATATTTATTTTTAAGTTAATAGAAGCATTAATATTGTTTATAATTATGATTGTTATTAGACTGTTGGGCTGCTCTCACATATCTAGACTAGCAATTTTAAACTCATGTGATCCCTTACCCAGTGATTAAGATAACTTTAGAGTTCTGTGAATCAATACTACATTTACAATCAATGCATAGGTTGCAAATTTAAGACATTTCCACATTAAGTGTAGAAAGAGAGATTTTTAGAAAAAGCTTTATAGTGTTTCATGAAGTTCTCTCTCAAGTCAAAGAGAGATTGTGTATTTGCACTATTGTTGTATGCCATGTTTGACCCAATAATGACCGGGGCAAGGAAACTTGACGGATTTTGATTTCACATCCTTTTATATGCTCTTATTTTGTCAATATTTGTTGATTGTACTCGGATATCATTATAGCATATTACATATCGATAAAGAATAGAAAAACAAAAGGAAAAGACAATGGGTATTTGATGCTTATTCAATATGAATTTAAGAGGTACAAAAGCATTGTAAAAATCTATTTCTTCTTGTAGGAACCTGTCAAAATCTATTACAATCTACGTATTTATAGTACAAAAGATGTCGCTGGGGTAAGAAATAATGTATGCCCCTTGGTTTATCTATTAATGTATGAAAAATTATGACATTAATCAAAGCAGGCCGTTGAGCATGTACACATTTATGGCATAATATAAGTGACAAGAAGTTATAGACAATTTAGTTTGTCTTTCTATTAATCTCGGATTCGCCGAACTCAAAGTATACTTGAGCAAATTAGAGACCTATTTCAATGCAGTCATTGAATTAATTATAAGTTCCAATTTTATAAAGTGAAACTATTCATTGTACAATTTTATATATGTGAAAATTTTAGTAAAAATTATAATTTTACTATTTCACATCTGTTAAGCATGAACTTAGATATTTTTATAAGAACTCTTAGAGATCTTTCCCTTGTAAGTTGATTTTTGGTGGTGATTTTACTCATAGGTTCATATCAATTGGTATCATCATAGGCACCTAGGAAGTACGGATACGGATACGGATACGAATACGTGACACGGGTACGATACGATACGATACGGATACAGTGATACGGCAAAACTTAAAAAAAAAAAAAGATATGGGTACGGCTAGAATACATCTATAATAAAATATATTTTATATTTTACTATTATTTAACGACTTAGAAATTATAATTTTTTAACATTAGTAAGTAAAATTATGAATTTTTACCATGAAAAGGATGTAATATTGTCTCATTATGATATGTTCATAAAATGAGCATGACCAATTGAAAGAATCATAACCACATTTAACTAATTGGTTTTACAAGTATTTATTTTTAAAAGTATAGTGTAAGTGACTCAGTTTTTTTATACTCTCTTAACATTTAATAATAGATAATACTTAAAAAATACTCGTGTTTTTAAAATTAAATGAAATTTTGTTGATATTTTATATTGTATGTGAACTCCAAAGAAGGGGTATAGCTTATAATTGAAAATTGTACATCTTACTCCATGTTTAGAAGTATCCGCGAAGTATTCCCATATTTTATTAATTATCAGATATGGATGATGCGTATCCGATACGTATCATCAAGTATCCAACGAGTATCGTATCCGATACGGGGACGTCAACCTGGACGAAATATCCATGTTTCATAGATCGGCACTACTTCAAGTTTGAGTTACACAAGTAATGACCTATAAGTCGTTTTAAAATGGCTTAGGTATTGTATATGACATGGTACTAAGTCACTGAACATTGATGACGTGGATTCAACAAAAGAAAAAGTGTTATAGTTGGTTAGTGTTGTTATAGTGAGTCGTTGTGGACTTTAGTGTGAATAGTTTATATCAAGGGTTATTTGTACCCACAGTTTCATATCAATATCTCGAACAAATAAACCTACAAGTGCATATAACAAGAATTGAACTAAAATTATTAGTTCAAAATATTCACATGCAACGCACGTGGGCATCAACTAGTATGTACAAAACCCTTAAAATAGTGGGAATCCCCAAAATGGCCCCTAATTTATAATGATAACTTATGAGGCATTAAAAAAATTTATTGACACTTGTATTTGCTTTAAAACTAAAAGTACATTAACCTAATTTCAAAAAGACTTCTTTTGTAAGACTCTATTTTTTGATAAGAAACGAGAATATCATAAAAACTGATAAAAAGAGTATATGAGAGGACAAGAAGTCCTCGAAAAATTATAGTCAAAGAAGAAAAAAGAAGAAAGCTTAAATTGACTAAAAGACAAATAGAAACAAAAGATGAAGGGAAAATTGGTCTTGTGGCAGAAGCACTCTATTAACATATGTTGCTATTGCACTGGATGGGTATAACCACAAACTCCATTTCATCATGATTAGGAGGAGGAAACTCTTGACGAAACCACAACACGTCTGGAGGTAGAGAAAAGTGAAATAAAATGATAGTGAAAAAGAGAGGAGACAAAGATAATAGGGGGGAGAGAGAGAGAGAGAGAGAACAAACATCTTTTACGAGATCTAGAAACCTTTAATCGATTTTTTTTTTTTGAAACATGAAGAATGCAAAGTTTTTACAAGGCAAAGAGTACAATTGGACCAAAGGGCCGTTGGTAATCGAATTTAAAGTTTAAAACTGCAGATGTAGCATCTGAATTTGATTTGAACTCCTTTATCAAACTCATAAACAATAATTTTTAGAAAAATAAGAGAATGAGCAAAATGTGTAGTTGAAGTACTAAAAATAATAATTTGGCAGGACATATATTCATTTTCCCATCTCAAATGTTACAGTATAGGTAATTAGGTATGAAATGGTAATCTTTTAAATGCAATTGAATATGAAGTTGATCTAAGCCATTCTATTAAAATGGTTTAATCTTGGGTGATGCACTATCGCATATTTAGAAATGATTATGGTATTCTCCAAGGGTTTTCTCTCTAAGTATATCTTTTTTATTTTGAAAATGCTCAAGCTTATGAGTTATTGACAGTTTATTAACGCAATTCCAGAAAGAGTGTTTTCAAGCTTATGAGTTATTGACAGTTTATTACCGCAATTCCAGAAAGAGTGTTTTCACGTGGTACTATTCTCTGAACTTGAAAATTTATTACTGTTTTGTCATGCTAGTATTCTTATCTATTTATCTGCCTAGAATGGATTATTTCTCATGGAAGTCCGCGTTATTCTTCTTATATTTATGTTGCTATATTATACATATAGTAATTTGTTGTAGTTCAGTCAGTGTCTGCTAATTGGAAAGGATTCTGCATAATCTTCCCATCCTTCTCACGTTACAAAGAGGGTGCATACTGTTTAGTTAGTTTATATTATATATCAGTTTGGTTGTTATTTGGACTCCTTTTCTCTCGACTGGGAACATAATGTTTTGTCCATCTTTACCAGGTAGTGAGTGCAGTAAATTGTGCTAGGAGAGGATGGATTAATGTTGAGATGGATATCATTGCTTGTGAAGCATGTGGGGCGCGTCTCCTCTTTTCTACTCCATCTTCTTGGACACAGCAACAAGGCATGTCATGCTTCTTTCCCCCATCTTTGTTACCCATGCAGTGTTCCTCCTCTTTTTAATGGTTTACTGGATAAATAAATAAAAGGTGCACCATATTAGCATTTATTTGATGATATTTCATTTTTATTCTTTATCTGAACTGGAACTTACGTGCTATCCAGTTGAAAAAGCAGCATTGGTGTTCAGCTTAAAGCTGGATAATGGACACAAGCTACTTTGCCCGTGGGTTGACAATGCCTGTGATGAGACACTAGCGCAGTTTCCACCTACACAATCTGCTGATTTGGTAGAGAATTACCAGAGACGATGTTCTGCGCTATTGCAGCTTTTTGCTCTTCCAATGATTTCATCCTCAGCCATTGATTACATGAGAAGCCCTCTGCTGGAAAACTTCCTCGGAGTATCTTCAACCTTGGAGTATGGGAACAAGTCTGTTGACGTTTCTAGAATTGAGGGAAATGAATTTGAAGAGGCTTCTTCCATCTTGTATTATCAGGTGTGCCAATTGTATGGTAGCAAGAAGTAAAAACGTTACACAGATTTTGATCCCTTTATTATTTTGACCACATATATTATGTGTGCATGAAATAACTAGGACTGGCATATTATCTTCAGTCAATGCAATACTGCAACTCAATCAAATATCATGTTTTGTGGTGTTATGTTTGTGTTATGGAGTAGTCCTACCATGGGGTCACAGAGTTCTGCAGTCTCCCTTGTTTGTTTGTACTTATTAGCGTCCAACTTACCTATCAAGAGCGGTGATCTAAAATGTCGGTCACCTATAAGATCATTCCTTCCATCTTAAGAATAGGGAAAAGCCAGCCTGGTGCTGTCTTTATGTGGTTTTCTAAGTGTTTCTGCCTAACCTTGCACAAAATACTGACAATGAAGAAAATGAGGAGTTTCAGAGTGTTTCCATTTATTTGTTGATTGCTGTCTGCCATGTATGGGACTGAGGGCATCATGACTTCTCTCTGTCGTCATTCTTTTATCTCCTTTTCTGAAAACACATTTTGGTTATGCATTGTGACCTATATCAGCAATAATTTCCATCTAGCCTGTATTCTTGTTTCTGTTAGATTTGCTGGTTTCAAATGTCAGTGATAATTTCCGGTTTTATCATGTTTTTTTTATGAAAGGCAGGGTTGTTTGATGCATTTGCAGGCACAAAAGCTTATTAGTTTATGTGGTTGGGAGCCTCGTTCACTACCTTACATTGTTGACCTCAAGGACCTGCAAGATCAGTCTACTAACAATGTCAATCCTTCGGAGTTATCTCTTGACAATTCTAATGGGAAGAATGTTAGCTTGAATATTTACTCTTCTGGTACCGATGAGATTATGGAGACAACTAACAACCCCATGGTATCTGCTCGAGTACAGTGCGATCCCAATTCTGCAGTTTTAGATTGCAGGCTTTGTGCAGCAACCGTTGGATTGTGGGCTTTCTCTAAACTTCCATGGCCTGTAGAGTTTCTCAGATTAGTTGGATATTCAGAAGTCAATGGTGAAAGTGATGCTGTTCATCATATGGAAGATGAACATAATTCAAGTAACAGAAATATGGAATGCTTGGTGAATATGGCTAAAACTGGTACCACCTCATTGAATGACAGACCAGCAAATTTAAATTTGACAATTGCTGGGGGTCCTCCTCCAACAAAGCAAAACTTTAGGGCAACAATATCTTTACCAGTAATCGGACAGGTTTTGAGAGCTCGATTGTCAACTGATTCTGATTCTTTGGATCATCTATGTCGTAAGGTTCAGGGGAGTTCAGATCATACAGGCAAGACTCTTATTGCAACCAGTACACCAGATTCCATGTTGGAAAATCCAATAGAAAAAATTCAAAAGGTAACACAAGGATCCAAATTGCCAGATAATGCAGAAAATGATGTGCTAGGTAATTCTGCAGAATGTTGCTTTCAAGTTGGAGACTCTTCCATCACAACCGGAGAAGCTCATACCCCAATTGGAAATGTATTACCTAGTGACAATGACACATTGATGAAAGGTGCGGCTGAAGCTTGCTTTTTGCAACAGAATGCTGATACAGGTACATTATGCAGCAAACAAGACGGCAGTGCAGTAGAGGCCATGGTGCAGCCTGTAAACCATAATGTTGTGCCCATGGGTAAGTGAACTTATTGTTAGTTTTTTGTGTTGTTGCTATCGTGATTCTTTTCTTGCATATATGCATTCTAGGCGTGCCCCTAGCCCAATGTGACTCCAAACACAATCCTTGTGCCTCAACTAACTGCACCCGGGGGTGGGCGGGCG